TTTTTATTCATCAAGTGAATAAACACATAAATTCTATTTAAAAAATTTATTTCTATTTGACGATATGCTAAATTGAGCCAAGGAATAAGCCAACTCAAATATTTCTATATTTTAGAGTAATGTTTACTCTTTATTTGGCTCACTTTTAGAAATTCCTGGCTCAGAAAAATCATTTTGGCTTAAAAATAATTTTTTCCTTGCCACATTTTATAATAAAATTCAATTTAAGCCTCTTCAAATGAATAAATATTAAAAAAATAAAATGAATAGACATATTTAAATACCCGACAAAGTCTACCTTAATTCGACAGAAAAATTAATTTAAAAAATCCCCCCTTCCACAACCAAAAATGGCTATTAATTCAATTAAATCTTTAATTGTCTTTTTAATTTATTTAACTGTTAATTTAATGCTTTTGATTGCCCCTTTTGTTGATTCGATGCGTTCTAGGGGAGGTTCTAGGCGAAGTAAACTATCAAATGGATCAGGACCACGTCTATCAGATCCAGGATAAACTGAAGTAAATACTCGAAGCCACTAAAGAAAAAATGGGTGAAAATGATAAAATTAAAAGTTTTGGAATTATTTATGATTTTAATAAAAGAGCAGATCCTGTTAAAATTCTGTTGAATCCGGTCACTTGCCTGTGATATAAAGCCACCAAATATCAGAAGCCGATCTGATTTTTAGATACGGTAAAAAACTGATAAATAATCGTTAAGCCTAATGGATGCCTCTATATTTATCCGGATTCAACTCGATATTCTTTTCTTTATGTCAAGCAAAATAATATGTACTAACGAATAAAGGCAACAATAAATTCTTATTTTTTTTAAATTTTGGATAAGAAATGATTGAATATAATTTTAATTTTTTGTAAATTAAACATGATTATATGTAGTAGTCTAAACTAGAGGAAAATTTTGAACAGAAAGTTAAATACAAAAAAACAAGCCAGACTTGCTTAATTTTTAGATTTTTTCAAGTTTATTAGATTATTGCGTGTGAGCTATAATAAATTAAATTTTAAATTAAACGTCCAAGTAAAAATTATTTAATTCTTATAAAATTTAAATATTAGTTAAGGCTTCAGACAAAATTGTTATAAGTGTGAACGGACTTTTAGTTTGTAAAAGCTTTAAAAAGGTATTTAAATAGGGTCTATAAAATGCCAAAATAGGTACAAAAATAGGTAAATAGATTGCAAATACGATGTGTGGCAAAAAAAGACAAAAATAGAGAATAATTTCCATTTTTCGTTTAAAAATTTAAAAAAAAATCAAAACATACAATAGCAAATATTAATTAGGTTTTTTGAAAATTCATGGAAAAAATAGGCTATACCTAAAAATCCTATCCATATTTATAGGTTTTACTAAAAACGAAAGGTCATTCCTTCAAAACTGACCCTCGTCCTTTTAAAATTGAAAATGTCAACTATCCCTGAAATAGTTTTCGTCAATTGGCTAATTTTGATATTTTCCGTTTTAGAACTAGCCTATTTTTTGTAATTAAAAATACCTTTTGGCATTTGTTTCAGAAAAAAAAAGTATTTAAAGTTAACATTAAATTAATTAATGCTGCACGCAATCTTGTTTGCTTTAGCCAGTCAAGGTTGCCAACTAACATACAAGATAACCAAAAACATTAAAATAACTTTTATTTAAAAAAGGTTATGTTTTAGTAAAAGGTTATATTTTAATTATTCAATATATACAGTCGAACATTGATATGTCTCAATTTAACGGGGTTCTCGTTATTAAACGTGCCCTGGCAGAGATGTGCCGAAAGTAATTTTAACTAGCGAAATTTAAAAAGCGAAAAACCAAAAAAGGCAAACATCGGCGAGTAAGACGAAAGACGAAACCTACAAAACCCACTCTTACACCGTCTTACCATCCTATAATCATTTTATCTACTACATTCATACCTGATTCTTTAAATAGAAAGAGTTTAGCAAAAGTTTAGCCACCGGGCAGGATTTGAACCTGCGACCGACCTCCTTGCAGCTATTACCAGCGTTCGCGCACCACATATAGGAGCTCACTGAGCTACCGGGGCATCGACTTTTCTTTTATCCTTTTAGCTTGTTTAACCCCCGCCTAAGCGTTCTAAATGCTGCTAGGTGAATCATCTTTACAAAATTAATTTTTAGTAATTTTGTGAGAATACTAAAAGAAAAATGTTACCAGAACTTTATTCTATAATAATTAGTTGTGTTGGATTAATCGGTCTATTTTTCAATTTTCTCTTAATTTACCTAATTATCCGTTATACAATGAAAGAAATGGAGGTTTATAGCAAAATACTTTTACAGACTTGTATTGTTGATATTATTGGGATTGTTTTGTTTGTTATTGTTCAGCCGGTTTTTTAAGAAAATTTTCTGAAAAATTATTTTTAATTAAAAAAGGTTTTTGTTTCTGACAATGGAATGGGTACAGTATGGGAATATGGAATTACACATTATTTGCCTAATCCTTGGCAATTCCTTTCTTTTATTTTGTATGCTTTTATGATAAGATTTACATCAGTAAATGTTTGTTCGCAATTTATTTTTCGTTATTTGACAGTTGTTCGGTGATTATTAATATTTTTTACAACGATTAGGACTAGTTAGAGATCGAGCTGGACCTGGACTAAGGCCTGGGTTTTCCTCGTACCCAGAGTTCAGGCCCAAGCATTTTATAACCTTCATGGGGTTTTCCCGGACTACAGACCCAGGAGCCGCCCAGTTCAACAAATCAAACTCCAGAGCCATAAATCAAACTCCTCGACCTCTATTAGGGATTGAGAGATGACTTTGTCCTGTAGATGTTTTAAATTTAATAATTTAAAGTTCTGTAAATATTCGCCGAAGACATTATTTGGCCATAATTATTTCTGTTCTTCTTCCAATTATTTTGCTTTTTACTTTATCATTTTTATCAAATAATCCAACACCCGAAAATGAACATTTAACAAATTATGAATTGGCACAAATTTTGGAAATTGACAATTATACAATGGAAAATTATGTTGTTGGCATGAGAACTAGAGTATGTCGAGTACCGAGACATTGGGGAAAAATTGAGTTCGAGTAATGCCGAGTTTGAAAAACCCGACTACCCATTTACCATGAAAAAATTATGAATTGAGGTTCTTAGAGCTGAAAAGTTCATAAGGTGGAGGAATCGCTGTGGCTAACGGATCATCGGAACATTCGGATATTCGGATCCGGAATCGAAATTCGAACTACCTTTGTAGTTAAAAAACTTGAAAATCGTATCTTAAACTGAAGTTGTATATCTAGTCTAGGGGAGATATTAACGTGAGATTCTACGGTATAAAATAAATCTTTTTATCAATTTTCATTAAAATAGCCGACCAACTTATCGTCCATCAGCTCAAAATATGCTACATTTCTTACAATCATAACATACTCAATTATTATAATTTGTGGAATTCGAATTCAGTATTTTGTGCGGTGTGAATATATTGGACCAAATTTGGAAATTATGCGCAAAGTTAATAAACAGATTTCTATTGTTTTGTGGTCACAAGTAAAAAAATTTTAATTAATTTAATAATTCAATAAATTTTAAATATTGTATAAAAAATTTCAGTAGAGGGTAGACTTTTCTATTGAATTCTAATTGTTCCCTTTCATAAGGGCATATAAGTAAGGAAGCCTGGTTAGGGGGCATCCTCGACAGATTGTTGCAAAGTGTAAGAGAAAAGCCTGTATTGGATTCTTATCATAATATCCTTCGTATCCGTGTGTATCTGTGGATATTCGGGTATTCACAGAAGCATCCGTATCAGAGACATGACAATATTGACAATGTACATATAATTAATTATTAATTTTTTATATTTATTTAAGGCGCTTTTGGCTCTTTTACCATTTTTCTCTCAAATAATAGTTAACTTATCAATTTTAAATAATTCAATATTCTCAACAAAATTACTTTTTACAATAACTCCAGCATTTAATGCTTTGATTCTTATTTTAAATCCTTTGGTAAATATAGAAGCCCTTGTCCAGTTTTTGCCGTATACATATAAAGTTCGGTTTTCGAGTTTGGGGTTAGATTTCTTTATGTATTTTAGTTTAGACAGCATCGAACTTTGAAACACAAACGAAATCCAATACATATTAGAGTAATTAAAAAACACCATTTTTGAGCCAAATTCCGGATTTTCACATAGATTTTTATATATAAGGAGAATTCAGTGTGATATCGGGGATTTTTAGATAATCAAATAGAACGAAAATTAGAATGCCTGAGGGAAATACCGAAATTAGGTATATAAATCAAAGCTCGAATTGTATACAGATTTATGGAATGCATAAACTGAATAAAAGTTTAAATTATTTTAAAATTTATTTTAATTAAGGTAACTCTTTTAACTGTTAGAAATTATAGACAAATTGTTTTTAAATTTATTAAACAAAACAGCCTAATTTTGTGGAATTCAAATTCAATATCACCTAGCAACAATGTATTGACACAGGGAAATTTGAATGTTATTAATTAAATAAATTATTAGAGTTTTTTAAAAATATTTTATTTAAATGTAAATATTATTAAAAATTTAAATTTAATGAAAGATGTAAAAATAGATATTAATAATTACGTTATTAGTAAAGTTGATTTGCATTAACACAAAAAAAGTTGGGCGTTATTAATTAAATAATTAATTAATTTTTTAAACATTTTATTTACTTACAAATGCAATTATTATTGAAAATTTAAATTCAATGAAAGAAATTAATAATTATGGATATCGTTGGAGTTAGGCGGTATTTAAATCTTAGTTGCCGTTTTATCTAGTTTCGCTTTAATCGTTTCGTTGAAAAAAATTTCCCGATTCTCAGACATAAAATTTAAACTTCAATCCCTATAACAATTTTTCCATTCTCCAGATATATCCGGATCGGCTTCACTTTCCCAAATTCATCTGCCAATAGGCATCAGAATTCCAATACCGCTTAACTCATAATTATAATTAAACTTCAAAATTTCCATGCTGGTCGTTTCTCTGCTTTTTCACTACTTGGAGATGAGCCTTTGCCGAAAAATAATTGATGGGAGGGAGAAATGCGGTGGTGGACATTTCCAATAGGTGAATGAAGTCTGCGACAAATTTTGAGGAAATTATACTTTAAGTGGAAAAATATTTTATTACCTATGTTGTGAATGTTCTGGAGTTAATTCTTGTGGGGCAATAGCTTCCATCCTCCCAGCAATCCCTCTTCCACTATTTGAAGAAGAACACCTCCAATGTTCGTGTCTTTGACAACAATCCTTTCTTTGAGATAATTCCTCAACTGTTAAACGTGCTCCTGTTGCTTTTTGGCAAAATGCCAAATGTTCACTTGTATTGGCTATACTTTGCTTTAAAAAATTTTTTTGAGATTTTTAGCTAGGTTCTCTAGTTTAGATTATCCTTGTTCCCTGCACTGAAGTTAAAGGAATCTGTGAATTGGATTTCCTACCTCCCCCCTCCCTCTTGGAGAACAATCTTAATATTTTTTGACTCTAAACATTTTATTAGCTTCGGTCTTTGTCTGAAGTTCTCCAAAAATCTTCGGTCTGTGACTTTAATATTTCCATTCAAACAATCTCTTGTATATAAAAGTTTAAATAAACTAAACCGAACGCAGCTCCTTTTTGTTGAAGCAACAATTACATGCTTGTTTGTTGTAAGCTTCGGATAGTTCAGCTTGCAATTGCTTTATTACTTCAATAAGTTCCTATGGAAAATAAAAAAATAAATGTGCGGAGATAAACTCAAATTCTCGAAGCTTATAACTAGAGTTCTGTTTGGGATCGAAAGATGATTTTTAATATCTCGTGCGCATATTTCAGAGATATTTGAGATATCGGAAGTAGGGATCATTTACCTCAAATTCTTATTCCACCCCGATTTTTTCCTACCCGTCCCCAAGTTTAATTTAGGTATCCACCCTACCTTCTCCCTGTTCAACGCCTCTTTATTGGTTATCATTTTTTGTTCCTTCTCTTCAAAAATTTTTTCATCAAGTAATTCTGTTTGACATTCATGTTCTTCCAGAATTTTTTCTGATTTATCATTATCATTTATTAATTCCAATTTTCTAGCCAATTCCTGCTCTCTTTGTTGTATAAATTCTACAGTACGTTCATGTTCTCTATTTAATGCCCCAATTTTTAGCTCTAATGCTAACGCGTGTTGAGATTCCAAACGTCTTTAATAATTAATTAAAAATTGAATATTTAAAAATTATTTTTGTCAAAATTTTCCTAAGATGAACTAAGAGCAATAGATTATCTAGTAAGAGCATAGCGGTAGGAATCGGTCCTGCGACCTTGCTGAAGGTGTTCGCTTCGCCTTGCCTACACCCTTACACGGAGCTCTACCAACTGAGCTACCGGAGGCGATTGCTCTCCCTCATATTCCCTTATTTGTTGGGAAAGGGGAAGAGCAATAATTATCGTTATTCGAGTAATTACGCAATCCAATAATTATTTAAATTTTAAGCACCTCAATTCCCTCTCTGACTTTTCACGTTCTTCCTCCAATTGTTCCTTTATATTAGCTAATTCTTTTTCAAGGAGATCAACCCTTTCAACTTCACTTTTCGAATTTAATTCAATTTCAAGTCGTTTTTCTACTTCAGCCAATTTTTCTTTAAAAAATTTTTTTTTGAAAAATTTTTTTGAAAAAAATTTTTTTTTTTCATTTTTCAAAAAAAACTTTTTTCTTCCTCCAATTCTTTAGTTAATTCATCTGCACGTTTCCAACCAGCATTAACATCTCCCTCCTGTAATTGTTCTAGTCTTGCTTCGGCACGTTCCTTTTCCTTTACTATTCCCTCAACACTTCGTTCCAATTCGTATAACTGGAGAAAAAAATTTCAAAAAATTTTTCAAAGGTTTTTTACCTTTTCTAATAATTTATCCATTTCAATCTCTTCCTCCGCTTCTTCTTCCTCTTCATTTTCTACTTTTAATTTGCCTTCAATTGAATTAATTACTCGTGATAATTCTTTATTCTGTAAATAATTTTAATAAATTTTCAAAATAAATTCTTCAATTATTCATTTCATCTAATTAAAACGAATGCCCTAACGTGTCCAAAAGGGTCTGATTACGGGAGGGATGACTGGGAGGTTTGTTAAATCGTTGAGTTTAGAAAAGTGCCTCGAAGTCTTAGATACTTTCTTAAAAAAATTTTTTTTTAAGATTTTTAGCTAGGTTCTCTAGTTAGGAGCATCCGTGTTCCCTACGCTGAAGTCAGAGGAATTTGTGGATTTATTACCCCCTCTCCCCCTCTTGGGGAACAATCTTAATATTTTTAAGTACAAATTTTGTACGAGCTTCAAACATTACTCCCGAGTTAATTTTATTCCCCGCCTCTCAAAATTCTCTTTAAATGTTCAAACATCAATTTGTTGTTTTTCAATTTTCTCCTCCAAATCAGTCTTCTCTGCTCTCAATAATTCAACTTCTTCCCATAATTTCTACAAATTTTTGAAGTTAAATTTATTCTCCTAAAATTCTCTACCTCATTTTCAGGTCCAAATTCTCCATCTTCTTCCCTTTCTACATGTTCCCTCAATCCGTTATATTGTTCTTCTAATTCACTCAATTTTGTCGAAAACTCCCCTCTAAGTGTAGATTCTCTTTCTTCTGCTTCAGCTCGTTCCTTTTGGAGTGTTTCTTCACAACGTTCGGCACATTCTTCTTTTTCTCTTGTAACTGATTCTAACATCTATTGTGAAATATTTAGAAATACCCAAAAAAATCGGTTAAAAGTAAGCTTCACGTATCAATATTAGATTTTACCGGAACCGATATTTTGACCGGAACCGAATCCAATTTGAGTACCGGTTCCCGGAACCAGAACCTAAAAAACACCGGAACTTTCCGGAACCGGAACTTCCGGTGAAACTCTAATCAATATTAATTTCCTATTAATATAGCTCTTGTTAGAGGGTCTCACTCAGTAAAGCCGGTTAAAATTACTGCTCTTAGAATACAGATCCAAATTTCCATTTCAATATTTCTCTAATATCAAAGGATTATTTTTATCATTAACAGCAAAATTTTAGGATAACCATAACAATTTTGGTATTGATGTAAACTTAAGAGAGAGAGATGAATTTATCCCCTTTAGTAATAAAATCCCCTTTAAAAATCCCCTTTCATAGGAAAATTAATTTCCTTACCGCTTCCAATGCCGTTAATTGGGATTCATGAAGCTCTGTCTAAATTTTAAAATATGATTCATTAATTTAAATTTATTTTTACCTGACTTTCTGCTTGTGCCCTTAACCCATCTCTCTCAATTTCAAGTAAATCTACTCGATTACCTAATGCAATAACTTCTTTTCTTAATTCCCCAATTGTTTGTTCTAATTTAGCTCGCAACTCTTCCGCATTTTTTAATAAAGCATTTCTTTGTTCTAATTGTTCTCTTTGTTCTTCCAAAAGGCCTTGGTTTTGTTCAGCTTCTGAACGGGCTTCACTTAGGCGACGGAAGGAATCTTCTGTTTGGCGACGGGCGGCAGAAAGCTTAAATTTGGTTTTGAAAGTTGTAGGATGAATAGAGAGATACTCTTTTATCATCCTTTACTGAAATCTCGCTTTGATTTCAGTTTCTATTTCCAAGTTATCCACACTTTCTCTAATTTTTCAATAGTAAGCTAGATTGAACTTTATCAAATATTTATGTAGAAATTGAAGTATTTAGTAGAGATCCGTATTCTCAAAAATTCTGGATCTGGATTTATGTTAGAAACCTGGACAGGATTCTTAATCTGGATCCAGAAAAAATCCAGGACGATCAAAAAATGCCCGGATCTGGACTCTGAATCGAGGAAGAATCCAGACTGGATCCAGTCCAGACAGATCTCTAGTATTTGGGTTCAATTTTGGTTTGATTTTACCTTATCTTAGTACCCTACCATCCACCCAATTTATTTATCTACCTCTTTAGCCAACCGCTGAATTTCAGCAGCTTTTTCTTTCAATTTTTCTTCTAGCTGTACAACCTCTTTTCTACAATTAACAACCTCTTCTTTAGCTTGCTTCGAATAATGCTGTAATTCAATTAATTTATCTTGAAATTCCTCCTGTCTAGCAGCTAATTCGTCTTTAAGGGCCTCTTCATGTTCTCTCAATGCTTGCAATTCCCTTGTATATAACATTTTTGCTGCTGTCAATTCTGATTCAAAAAGACTTTCAGCTCGTCTAAAACGAACTTCAAATCCTTCATTAAGCCTTTCCCTTTCTGTTTTTAAATTTTTACGTTCTTCTTCCAACTTTTGTATTTCCAAAATATATCTAGAAATTAATCTTTTAAATCAAAAATAAATAAATAATTGCCCAACTTTTGTTCTAAATTGAGCAATTTAGACTCTGAAAATCGCTGCTCCTGAAAAAAATTATTTGAAATAATTAGTTGAGAGATTAATTTATAAACAACAAAGAGGTATCACCAGTGCTTCGAAATTTCAAATTTGCTCGTACTCGTACTCGTACTTCGTACCACCTCTTTTTTTGGCCTCGTACTCGTACTCGTACCTCGTACCACCCCCATTTTTTTGCTCGTACTCGTACTCGTACCTCGTACCACCCCTATTTTTGGCCTCGTACCTCGTACTCGTACCTCGTACTTACTCGTACTTGAGGAAAAAGCAAAAAATCGAAAATTTTTATGATTTTTTGGAGCCCAGGGCATCTAGTTTTAAATTTTAAGCGTTGTATGTGATAATATTTGAATCTTGGAAGGCCTTGAAGTTATAAATCCTCTAATTTCATCCATTTGCTGCGCCGCAGGCGAAATTTTTGAGCATTTTAGAGTGCAAGGAGAAATATTTCCTCCAAGATAGGTCGTGCTACCCGAGATCCTACATTTTTTCATTTGATTTTCATCTTCTTACATGGAACTTTTTATCTTTTCCACTGGATTTTTTACATTTTAATCTCCTTATATCCCTCTTAATCTCAAATCTCTTTTTTCAAAAATTTTAAAAATTTTGGATGTCCGTAAGTCAGATTTTTTCTATTTTTTGCGCCGCAGGCGCAAATTTTGAAAAATTTTGAAGGCTATGAAGCCAGATTTCTTCCATTTCCGAAAATTTTTGAATTTGGAAGCCAATAATACATTTTATTATTTCTTCAGCGCCGCAGGCAAAAATTTTGAAAATTTCGGTGGGCCGTAGGCAAAAATATTCACTTTTTATTGGTCAAACGAAAAAGCTTAAGAATTTTAGATGGTCAAAATCACATAATTAATCCAAGTAAATTTAAATAAAAAACTAAAATTATAAATAAGTTATTTATGAAGAGAAAAATATTAAAAATCCTTGTCCAGTGAATAGGAAACAAACCAATATTAAATCATTATAGACTTTGGTGCAGCCAAGCACCTTCACCACTCGGCCACTCGCTCATACAATGAAAAATGAAAGGAACAAAATATATTTCTTTCAATTTTCCTATTAACACCAAGTACGAGAAGTACGAGCTCGTACTTAGGCCTCGTACTCGTACTCGTACTTCGTACCTGCCCAATTATTTTGCTCGTACTCGTACTTCGTACCAGGTACGAGTACGAGTACGAGGTACGAGTACGAATTTTGGTACGAGCTTCGAAGCACTGGGTATCACTCAACAATGTAATCCTGAGAATTGAGCTCAAAATGTACTAGGGCCTTACCAACTACGCTAATTATCTTATTAAATAATTTATAGATCTTAAACCAGCTGGATCTTCCTTACAGTTGATAGTTTAAGTTCAAACAGGTTAAAAATGTGAATTAGGGACATACATAATTTGACATTACAAAAATTTCAAATCTTAAAAATTCCCCACTATACCTTAGAGACAATATAACGTTCAAGTGCCTGCATTTCCCGTTGATGATCCTGTCTTAATCTTTCCAAAGCTTGTTCTTTTTCTCGTTCAAATTGTTCCTTTTAATTAATTAAAAAATATTCCTTTTACTTTTATAAATTAATTTACTTGAAGTAAATGAAAATTTTTCATTCTTTCCTCAAAATCTTTTTTGGCCCCCAAAACTTCCTCACTTAATGAGAGTATTCTTGTTGAATATTCTGCTTCTAAACGTCTCTCTCTTTCCGCCACACGTTCATGAAAATCGGAGAAAGTGCCGAGAACATTAAATTTTTGTCTTTCATAATCGGCAACAATTTCTTCTAATGCCTGAATTTTTTGTCGCAATTCTGTTTCGCGTCCCCAGCAGTTGACGCTGCTTCCTGGGCTGCATGCTAAAGAAAATTAAAATTGTTATAGTTGGTCTGTGAATCTATCAGAGAATTTTGAATATTAATTTTTAGGATAAGAGTGCAATCTTACTTTATTAAGTGATCGTGAACAGAAGAAATGGGCTTGAGTACCCGATACCCACAGCCGGACTTTCTTCGAAACGAAATCCGAAGATAAGATAGAGATCCGAATAAAATTTTAAAAATCCTAAAACCGGCCGACTTTCTTAAATCGACCAATCTCTGATTGTAAGTAGCCGAAAATAATAAATCTGGGTAAGTATAGATTAGTGCAAATATTGCAATATTTGAGGTAAATATTGCAAACTATACTTTAAAAGCGCAGAAAATCCTCCATAATGCCATAAATTTTTCATTCTTAATAGTTCTTAAATCTTAAAAAAGCGATGGACTAGAAAAGAAAGATGAAACAAAAAAAGGTAAACCGGAAATTTCATACCACTGGTTCTAAACTATTTATATTTTCTCAAATTTTAACCTCCACTAGGCGGTGCAAGCCCATTGGCAATTGCTTTAAGCATTGTTAGCAGGTTAGTACTGCTACCACATTCTTGTCCATTAGATTGAGGCAATTCTAAACGTGGAAGAGGAGTTAAAGAATGTGGAGAAGCTGTTCCCATTAAAGGTATAGGACTGTGAGTTAATGTAGATTGTGATATTGGGACGATGGTGGGAGCTAAACGAAGGGAAGTACTTGGAGATAAAGTAGAAAGGGCGGAAGAAGATGATAAAGGTGCTGCTATAGCTGTTGGCTTTAATTCAATTTTGGGAGGTGGAGCTGGCCAGGAAATTATTGCTGGGCATGGACTGCCCAAAAGATGAGAACGTGTAGTTGTTGATATTTGTGAAAATGAAGATTCGGATTGTTCCAAACTGGAAATTTGTTTTCAAAATTTATTTTTATAAGTTTATTAAGAATCTTTCCAGAGTCAAGACAAAAATCTCAATCTTATCTTTACCAAAGTATAGTAACTTTAAGCAAAGTGTCTTAACTTAAAGGTCTCATCTTGAACATTTCTCGGTTATCTGTGGGAGCAGGCCAAGGTACCGCAGAGCTATAAGTTCAGCTCGCAGAGATATATATATTCCCATATTCGATAACTTTGAATGAAGTTATACCTCTACGGCACTGTGGGCTCGCTGTATCTTCAAGTGTACTAGATATCTGTTCGAGATGTGATAAGATAGAAATTATAATAAATATCGGCAACAAACTCTACCCATCTTAATGTTTAACTTAACTCATATCCTTCCAATTTATCACCAACCCCTTCAATTAAATCCCAAAATTAAAGTATTTGTTAAGGAATTTTTATAGTTTATTTACATACATACCTTTGAAAATTCATTGGTGATCGGCTCATTGTTTTTTTTATTTTTTAACACGAAAATATCAAAATAGTTTATTTCCGGGTTTAACTAATAGAAAAACAAACAAATTAAAATTATAAACAAACAAAAAACTCTTAAACATTTCCCCCTTCCCTGTTTGTGTCAATTTATTAATTTTTAGAATGATGATTTTTCAATTTTTAAGGACAAAGAGGGAGGGATAAATTTGTTAGTAAAAATATATTTTTATGTTTTAATTTCTTCTTCTAAAACAATAAACGATTTTGGCCATTTGTTCAATCTGAAAGGCTGGCAGAGATTTTTACAAAAAGACTTGCTTCCCTTTCAGCAATAATATAAAATCTCTTTTGACATTTTCTTCTCCCTTCAATCGACTTTTCCGGTCTTTCAAGAAAGATCAGAAGGAGGTAAAGATTAAAGTCAGGTGTTTTGGGAAAATTGAAAAGCTATATGTATTTTCTCTCTTGTTTATAAATTGTTGTTTATTAATAGCTAGATGGAAAGAAAGGATATCCTCTATATGTTTATTTGGAAAAAAATTGAGAAATTTTGTTTATTTGTATTTTTAAAAAGTATCACAGTTTCTAGGAGTTGGATCATGGGAAATAAATAAATTCTGAACCGCAATTCACAAACATGGAAACTCGTGTTCGGGACCACCAAAAGTTAGCTTGAGCAAATTATCCAATAATTTTTAAATGAGTTCTGGCTCAGTTCAGTCCCAAGCCCTATAACTTTTGAAGGTATATTTAATTTTTAGTGTTCTTGGTACTATTGGATAGAGCATTAAATGGGCTACACTTAAGCGATCAAACCCCTACCTCTTAAACTTGAAAAGATTGAAGTGAAAGAAGTTGTTTTCTTTTTATATTTTAAAGAATTCTAATTTTTAAAAATTAATTTTAAAAAAAATAAAATTCCTTTATATAGGTATTTATTATTTTATTCCAAAAAGTATTTATTCCAAAAAGTATGAATTTAATTAATTAAAAAGAGAAAAACCAGAATTAGGAAAGAAAATTAGCCCAAAGTAAAAAAAAATATTTAATTTTCAATCCTTCCCAGCATTTTAATTTTTTTATCCTTCCCATTATTTTTTAATATTTTCTTTTCGATTTATCGACCAGGACCTGGAACTTTATTTCCTTTGTGTGATGGCCCGCTATTAGGTGGAACTCCTTTAATTGAATCCACAATTGAGACAAATAAAAGCATTAAAATAATAATTAAATTAATTAAATTTTTAATTGAATAAAACATTTTTGGCTTTTTAAAATTTTTTTAAAATTCTTTAATGATTAAATAAAGGTTCTGGGAGGATTTTTAAAAATCATTCGTAGTTTGTTTTTAAATTTATTTAGCATTAAAGAATAATTTTTGGCTCGGGGTTGAGTGAATAATTTTTATATTAATTTACAGGATTTTAAAAATAAAATAATTTTTTGTTTATTCAGTATTTATTTTTAAGTATTTTTCTTTAATTTTTGCCAAAAATATTTATAGAAAATTATTTTATAATAATATTTACATATTTAGAAGGAAACACATGTGAAGATTTTATTTAAAAAAATTTTTTGGTAAGGTGCCATTTAAGTATTTTAATTATTGATAGAATTAAAGAATTTATTGGTTCTTAAAAATGGAAATAAATGCAGTGGCCATAAAAATACTAGGTAGGATCAGTGAACTATATGGCTATTGTGTAGTGATAGTCTTTTTTCTCCAAAATGACTTTGGCCCACTATGTAGGCTTTCCTTTGGCATCCACAAATGAGACAGACAAAAGCATTAAAGTAACCATTAAAGGCATTAAATAAATAATTAAATTTTTAATTGAATTAGTAAACATTTTTTGGTTGAAAAATAATATAATAAATTTAGTGGTTAGCCAATATCTTTAAAATTATAATCCTGTTCGACAATTCTCGTTATGTAAAAGTGAAGCAAAGAATGCCTTTCTGTTGTATTTCTTTTAAGCCGGCGGATCGAATGAAAATTTGTATTTCCCGATTTCTGGGCTAAATATATTTTTACCTTATAAATCCAAAATTTATTTTCTACTTTCTTTTTTATGTTTTTTAGCTGAGAGTAAAAATTCACGTGATTTTCCTTTTAGTAAATTCAATTTAGTCATAAACCTCAAAAAAAACTTCAAAGAAAATATTTTTTTTAAATAAAATAAATATTATTTTTTATTTATCCAATTGTTTACGGGATTAAATAAAAAAAATAAATTTATAAAAAATTAAAATAGAAAATTGGTAAACAATTTTTTTTAATTTTGAAAAAGATTTATTTTAATTGATTTTTGTTTTTATATTTTTGTTTAAATAATTAAGGAAAAATTATTTTAGTAAAATATTTTTTATTTTTGCAAAAATTTAAATTTTAATATACAAATTTGACAAATCGACACCAGTGTATGGAATTTTGAAAATTGCTCGTACTCGTAATTTCGTACAGGCTTTTTTTTACCTTGTCAAACCCTATTTTTGGCCTACAAACCCTATTTTTGGCCTCGTATGACCTTCTCGTACTTGAGAAATAACAGGTTAATCCAAAATTGTCTCTATTATCAAATTTATTTATTCTTTAAAAAACTAAAAAGATTACCTTGTTGCTACCATGTGTCCTTGTTGCTACTTTGTTGCTAGTACTTTGTAACATGTACAAAGTAGGTTCCACACTGAACGCGTGTGTGTTGGGGTACGGGGTTTTCGAATTGTTTCGGGTCGCAGGAGCAAAATTTGGTCGGGGTACGGGAGTTTACTGAAAAAATTTTTAAAGAAAAAATGCTCTAAAAATAAGCCGTTTTCGGTCTATTTAATTAATTTATTCAGACATTAACGAGAATAAGGTGGGATTAAATGGTTTTGGTGTAATTAAAGTGTATATCTTGGAAGATAAATAAATTTGGATGGATTAAGAAAGATTTGAAGAGAATTTTAAGAATATAGGAACTACTTTGTAACGGCCTATAAATCAATTAGTTTTTAACGGACTAGGGAATATCAACGGATTTGAATGGAGATATTAAGGCTTATATTTAGAATTTTTAATATTGGTGTAGGAAAAATAGGTGGTAATTATTGTTTAATTTCTAAATTAAGTTTCTAAATTTAATTTTCTAAATTAAGATTTTGATGTACTTACGTTTTGGGCCAAATTTAAACTTTTTGGAGGAATATTAAACAAAACAATTTAATTTTGGGAAAGGAGGATATTTTTTAAAAATTATTTTGTTAAAAATTCAATTTAAATTATGTTTTCGATGTAAATTAAATCGAAATCGTTTGTCAATGCTTCACTATTTTTTTGAAAATAAATAGATTTTGTTTAAATTCTAACTGATTGAAAATACTATATTGTTAATTTCCCTACAGAAAAATTTTTTAAATAACAATTGAATTGCAGTAAGATTTTTCTCAAAGTTTTTCCACATTAAACCGAAACTCGCAAAACAAGAAAGAATTTGAATTGTAGGTTACTTACAAGTGATTGGATCTCCGTATTTTAAAAAACGGAAAAAAGTTTTTCAGTGTTCGGCCTTTTACCTCGATTAAGTATATTTTTTTTATTATTAAGCTATATCTTTTTTAACAAGCTTTTGAAAAATTAATGTCTTAGTTATTTTCTGAGTTATTTAAAAATTAACCCAAGTACATATGTCTAGTTGGAATTTTGATTCTTCTTAGAGAGAATTTTTAATTTTTTTTTGTAAACTAAACTGCTTAGCTGTTCATTAATTCTGAATTTTACTCTGAGTTTTATCCATTTTTAATAAATTTATTATTTATTAGACTTAACTTAATATTTAAAAAATCACACAAATATTCCCAGATAAATTTTTATTCAGTAAAATCGAATTAATTTTATGTTGAAATTAACAAATTAACTTATCAAAATTAGCTTAATTTAAATTCCATTATTTCCCATTTATCATTTAATTTAAATGCCTTTCTTCAATCATTTTTCTTCAATTATGTCCAGGATTTGGCCCACTAGGCTTTTTGTCTGCATCCACAAATGAGACAGACAAAAGCATTAAAGTAACCATTAAAGGCATTAAATAAATAATTAAATTTTTAATTGAATTAGTAAACATTTTTTGGTTGAAGAATAATTAAATAAATTTAGTGGTTAGCCAATATTTATTCCACGGAATATTTCTTGCTTCGTTAAAATTATAATCCGGTTTGATATACTTGTTATATAAGTCTCAAGCAAAAGTTTTTAAACATAATGGCAAACAGCCGCTTCAATCACTCAAGCTACTGGGGACGATGATTTTGGTATCGTACAAAATTATTAAAGCTTCAATTACAGTTGCCCGGTGATAAAACCAGACAAAGCTTTTATGCTTGTTTAAACTTAAAAATAAAAGATGCTTTTCGATGTATATTTCCACCGAGATTTTAAATTTCTTAGTCGTCCTTGATTTATAAATTTAAAAAATCAAGATATAGTAGGAACGAGGTAAAAGTTTAATCCCGGGCAGGCTTCAATCCTGCGACCTCCTGGCAGTTATTGCTAGGCGCTTTTGCTCACCTCGTACAGGTGCTCTACCAGCTGAGCTACAGGGGCGCTGCTTTCACCTTTTCTTTTAATAGATCTTAAACCACCGCCTAGTACGCGTTTTAAATGCTAGCCAGCTGGATCTTTCTCTTCCCTACAATAATTTGATTGATAAATATTAGTGATTTCCTTCACAAAACTAGCAAGCATGTCGCTTCAATCTACCAAAAAATTTTTAAAAATAAGAAATATGCTTAATCCCCATTCCCCCACTTAGAAGATTTTTTAAATTTATGAAAGCAAGGAAAATTTCTAAAAAATTAATATTGGCTAACCTTTAGGGAATTTTTGAAGAATAATTTTTATTTTATTTTCTGGTTAATTAAGGCTGTTTTTAATTTATTTAAATAGACCCTTTTTGTAATTTGTATTTTGTTTTTTTTAATTTTTATTTTCAAAGTTCGGTTCCAAAAAGGATAAATATTTTTATAAAATATTTTATTAAAAACAAAATTTCATGGCAAAATAGAATAAAAAATAAATTAGAGAAGATAACAATTTACGGAAAGGGTAATTCACAGAAATTTTAAACCTAGTATTTTGAAAAATTCTAAAAATTGGTTATTAAAAAGTAAAGAAAATATGAAAAAATTTATAAAATTTTTAAAAATTTTTAAAAATTTATAAAAAAATTTATTAAATAAATTTAAAAAAATTTCCTTTTTTAATAGCAATTAAAAAGTGATTAAGAAGCAACACATTAATCCATAATTTAATCTCTAATTTACTCAATAATTCACCTGCATTCAGTTTCGATTTTTAGAACCTAAACTTCATTTATTCTACTCGTACTCCCGAATTCCTTCAAAATCCTTTAACATGGGAAAATGCCTTTATGTTGTATTTCTTTTAAGCCGGCGGATCAAATGAAAATTTGTTGCATTTTTCCGATTTTGGGGCTAAATACATTCTTACCTTAAAGATCCAGAATATTTTTCAGACTTGGTAATGGAAATAAATTTTGGTATCCGTATCCGGATACAGACGGAACTTATCTGTATCCATATCCATTACCAAGCCTGATATTTTTATTGTTTTCATTTTCTCCTTTCTTTTTATCTGAGAGGAAAAATTCACGTGATTTTCTTTTTAGGTAAATTGTCAATTTAGAAAATTATCCTTTAATATAATTTTGCTTTCTAATCATAAACCTCAAAAAACTTCAAAGCGAATATTATTTTTAAATAAAATAAATATTATTTTTTATTTATCCAATTGTTTGCGGGATTAAATAAAAAAATAAATATATGAAAAATTGAAATAGAAAATTGGTAAACAATTTTTTAATTTAGAAAAAAAATTAAAGGATTTATTTTAATTGATTTTTGTTTTTATATTTTTGAATTAAATAATTAAGGAAAAAATTATCTTAGTAAAATATTTTTTATTCTAAATTTTAATATACTAGTTTGACAAGTCAACACTAAGGCTGGATACAAACGATAATACTTGAATTTGATCGAATATTTGATGCATTCCTATCTCGAGAAACTTCAGTTCCTGCAATAAAATTTACTAGTTTATATTTTTCGTTTCTTTCGTTTTGTAAAAATTAAATTTATTTTTTCGTTTCGTTAAAAGCGAAATAGTATTTTCATTCATCTTTGATCCCTACTAGTGCTGTGTATAGCTCCCGGAGCTAGCTCCGGAGCCGGGCTCAGGAGCTAGCTAAGATTTTGAAAACATCGGAGCTGGAGCCAACAAATGCACAAAATGCATCATTGATCCCTACTATAAAAACTTTTAAAATTCAAAATAAATAAATAAAAATTACATTAAAATATTAAATTTGTGTTATGTTAACCTAAAAATGAAATCATTTAAAGATAACGTCTTCAATTATTTTATCAGCATCTTCTTACCGGAATTTCCTTATTATTTTGTGTTTTAGAAATAAAATATAAATAAAATAATTTATAAAAAAATATAATTAAAATTATCAAAAGTAAATTAATTTAAATCAAAAATGTTTAATAAATTTCAAATAATCTTATTTTTAATTATTTTTACATTTATTAATTTAAATATTAATTTTATTGAATCAAAGAATATTTTGAATAGGAGGGGACAAAAAATATTTTTAAATAAAAAAAGAGAAATTTCAAAAAATTCAACAAAAATTAAAGAAAGCGATGAGAAGGAAGAAGAATTTTTTATAGATTTTGCAATGCTTTCGTATGAATATATTGATGATTATGCTATTTATGATTATTTTGATAATTGTTTTTATGAGGAGGAAGAATTTGAAGAATATTGTTTTATGGATAAAATGAGTACTCCAATTAATGCTAAATTTGATGTAAATTTAATTTAAAAAAATTTTTTTTAATGTTAGAAACATGAAAATCCGAAGTTCGCTTATAATTTCTTAGCACCTTTTTATGAAAAAACCCGTATAAAAATTTATTTTATTGTCTTTTAAACAATTCTGATTAGGGCTGCACGCAATTGCGGGTTGCGAGTTGCGGATTGTGTAAATTGCGGTGGTTTTTGCAATTGTGAGTTGCAAATTTTTAAGATTTTCACGCAATTTTTCAAAATTTTTCTCAAAATAAATGAAGGAAATTTGGTTTCTTGACACCCAAATTTCACAAAATTTTTGCCTGCGGCGCTGAAAAAGGAAGAAGTCTGTTGCTTTTTCTTCCTAAATTCTAAAAATTTTCGCCATCGTCGATGTAAAAGGAAGTTGAATGATACATATATGTATGTATTGGAGGATTTTTTTCTAAATTTTTAAAAATTGCGGATTGCGAGCAGCGGAAATTGCGTAAATTATTGGGGTTTTATGTAATTGCGAGTTGCGGATTGCGTAAATTGCGGAATTTTTTTCAATTGCGTGTGCAGACCTGCTTATAATTCTTAACTTATCTTTGTTCATATAAATACCGTACAGCCAGGAATCCCCCCCTCCCCCGACAGCCAGGGATCGAAAGAATAATTACCTCTCTTAAAAATAATTATAATCAGCTTTTCTAAAAAAGCTCAACTAATTACCCTCTTCCTTTTAATTACCTTCTCCACCGAGAGGTTGAAACAATAATTACCCTGGGTAATTATTTTAGCAAACACGGTAATCTAAAATAATAAATGTTTATTATTTTAGGATGAAACACTATTTGACGTTGAATTCTTTGTTGATGAAATTGTTGATATTGAGGGGAATACAATTGTAAATATTAGCAGAAATACTAATTTTTGTCTTTATCATATGGTCTGTGGCAAAACCATACAAGGAAATACAAAAGATATTACAAAAATTTCAAATGCTTTAAATGCTCATTATGATATTTCTCGTTATTATTTGGACGGTTTATGTAATGATACTAAAATAAAAAGAAATAAATTAGGGTTAAAGTTTAATGATGCAAATATTACAATTAATTTTGATGGAAGTGATTTGGCTGGATATAGTGTAAAGATTTGTTAAAAATAAATTAAAACGTAAATCTGTGTTTCGATTCAAAGTCCTTATAAAATATAATAAATATTATTCTTGTGGAATTAAAAATACATCTTGAAAATTATTTTTTAGGAAAAAGTCTATAAAGGAGATTGATAAAAACATTTTTTATCAATTGACAAAACATTATAATGGAGTGAAAATTGTATGAAAATTAATTCATTGAAGAGAATGAATGAATTTCTGTAATATGCTTTTGACTAGGGTAGCACCCCGAGCCTTCGGAGGCGGAATCGTTGGGGATCGGGGTTTGCCAAGGTAAAATCTTCGGGGTTCGGTTCGATGGATGGGGTGCATACATTAAGAATTCTTAATGTACCCTACTTTTGACTCTTATAATAATTTTGGGAATGAAACAAGAATGAAATTGAAAAATAATTATTTAAAATGAATAATTATTTTTTAATATTTTTTTTCCGCGACATCAAAACTTTATCCAAATATTAAACAATTTCTTCAATCTAACCGAGTCCTTCGAATGTCGATAAAAATAGCGATTAAATGAAATTAATTAATTAATAATAATATTTATTTAAGCATGATAATATTTGTGAAATTGAAATTTGGGATTGGAATGGTGATGAGCAGTTAGAATTTGGATTATCAGTTCTTAATAATTATTGCCTATTTTTTGATTCTTTCAAACAACAGATAGCATTTTCTCCTAGAAAGAAGAAGGCAATAAAGTGGTCTTACTGCAATATTAATTAATTTAATTAAATAAATAATTTAAAAAATTTGAAATAATTTTTAAAAGTTTATTTAAATGTTTATGAATGTTGATTTCCATTAAAGCTAATTAAAAGTATGTTCCAAACCAATATTTTTCCACACACATTAAAATTAAAATATAAAGAGTGACATTAAACAATGGTCTCCTTATTGGACATTCAATTCTCTTTCAAGTCCAATTCTTATGAAGCTCTAGGCTTCTATTTTTCAATGGGCCTCGATAATTTCAAAATTCTCGATCCCGAGTCCGTTTTTATTATTCTCTAATTTGATACAGAGTTTAAGTACGGATATTGATATTACTAAACTCTAACTATAACTCTTTTAGTTTTTATCAACTACCTTGATGAATTTTATTTTCAATATTTCAAAAATTATTTAAATAATTATGTAAATGGAAAGAAAAATAGCAAAAAAAGAAGAAAAATAGAAAAGAAATTTATATTTTAAATAATTTTATACTTTACATTTGGGTAGCACCCATCCCCTGAAACCCCGATCCCTGACACACCCGACACCGAAGGCTCGGGTTGCTACCCTACTTTAAATACAGTTGGTCCTCATTTTAGGATACTTGCAATAATAAAAATTTCTATTCAAGATAAGTTTTTTTCTAAATATGATTTGAGTCGAGTTTATTCACCACCCTTTCCCCTCTCCGGATGTATCTCATAAGGAGGACCGACTGTACCATTCCCCATGTAGTATTTCCCTTTTACATTTTTGAATTTAAAAAAAATTTTATTTCTTTATTTATGCCCAATCTTTAGTTGTTGTTGCACACTTCATTCATCTTAATCAACCATCATGATTATGATAATCAGGCGCGTGAGGATCTTGTTTGTGAATTATATCTCCTTTATGGTCATCTTGTTCGTATGAAGTTACAATTGCCCCCATAAACATTAAAATTAAGAAAATTTTAATTAAATTTTTTATTGAATAAAACATTTTTGTTGTTGTGCTTTAATTATTTGAATATTTTAAGTGAATGAAAATTTTTTAATGAAGATAGAAGAAATTGATGCCATTTAAATATGAAAATTTTTAATTATTTGGATAGAAGAAATCTCTTCACAATTACATCATACACATAAAAAAAGAATTATTTTCTTAACGTGTGCGGTTTATTGCTTAAGTCGGGTATTTAGCTGTTAGGAGATACCTGGCTAAGAGATACCTGGCTTAAATCCACGTGGATAATTTTATATTGATTCGTAGAATTTTTTAAAATAAAATTTGAAAAAATAAACACATGAAAAAAGGGAGTAATGTTTATTCAGTAAATATTTCAATGGAAAATTTCTATTTTAATACAATCACAGTTTGAAGACGTCACCCTCTGTAATGAATTGTACTGACGTAATAAGGAAGAGAAGTGTCAACGTGGAGAAGAAAAAGAAGTGTCAACGTGGAATCTTTGACAAAATATGCATTTTTATTAATTTTTATTTTAATTCAAATTAAAATTTAAAAAATTTTTATAGACAAGGGGAACCTTTTTAGGAACCTTCTTTTTAATTTAAGGGATTAGAACTTTCTTTTTCCAAGAAATTTTTTTATTATTCGCATGAAATTTTTTAGTCAGCTTTTTTGAAGTTTAAAAAAAGTTTTTTTTATTTCGTTTCGCCTGCAAAAAGTTTAAGTTTCATGGAGGTCTTTGTGGGGAGCAGGCCAACTTACCGCGAGCCCAACTTACCGCAGAGCTATAACTTCGTTCAGAATTGTCGAATCCGGGACGCCTTGGTATTGTTCAATGCAGCTCGACGAGCTGAATCGAACCATACCAGTTCTTCCCGGATTCGACAATTCTGAACGAAGTTATAGCTTTGCGGTAAGTCTTTAGGATCGAATATTTTGGGGTGTACCCGTCTTTAGGATCGAATATTGCTGTGCATGGTTGTCTTTTATTTGAAAATTTTTGGTGGTAGTTCGGTATGGTTCCTTGTGAGTATCTTTGTTTAATTAAAAAATTATTCTGTAAATATTGGCAAAATAATTTTAAAAAACCCAAATCATTATTCTTAGATTGGAATCCGAGCTTGGCGAAACTCAAATTTTTTAGGCGAAAAAAGATGAAACAAAATTTTTTAAAAATTGTTTGGTTAACATGGCGAAATTTTGGAAACAAAATAAATTTAGAGAAAAAAAATGTTTCGCATAAGTCTGGTAATAATCCAGATATTGTTCAACCTAAAATACAACCAGAATTGTCGTTTTTTATCTTTAAAAATTTTAACATTTTTAAAAAGTTTATGCCGTATTTAAATAATTAAATGAAATGAAAAAAACAGTAAAAGAAAATAAAATTAATAGAAGAAAGATTAAAATACCCAATTAAAATAATTATATTTTAATTACAGTCGCGGACTTCACTTAAAAATATTCCCCAAATATCACTTCATCTAAATTATGTTTTTTTTAATTTATTGGTTATTGAATGGAGTACTTACTGTCTAATCAACATTCACTACTAAAAGAAAATCTCTAGAGAGCGAGCTGGATCTGGATCCAGACCTTGATTTTTCCTGGATCCAGAGTCCGATCAATGCATTTTTCAGAGTTCCGTGATTTTTCCTTGACTTAAGGACAAGCTTCTGGTTAAGGTACACAACCGAAATCAAGGCCAAGGTCAAGGTTTTTTTTGAAAATCTCGCTCTCTAAAAATCTCACTATCTGATATAATTTTTTAGTCCACTCTTATAGCGAGGTCCTGACTGTACATATTCCCCATGTAGTATTTCCCTTTGAAATTGTTAATTTAAAAAAATTTTTATTTCTTTATTTACGCCCAATCTTCAGTTGTTTTTGCACACTTTATTCTTCTTAATCAACTACCATGATTATGATAATCAGGCGCGTTAGGATCGCCTGGATGTTTATCTCCTTCATGGTCATTTTCTTCGTATGAAGTTACAATTGCCCCCATAAACATTAAAATTAAGAAAATTTTAATTAAATTTTTAAATGAAAAAAGCATTTTTGTTGTTGTGTTTTAATTATTTGAATATTTTAAATTAATAAAAAAAACTTTTTGGTTAATTATGATAGAAGAAAAATTGTTGGATTTTAAATATAAAGATTTTATTTTTAATTAGTTGGATAGAAAATATCCAACTAAAATTTTTATTTTGTATTTGCAAAAAATATATTTATTTCTATTTTAATTCATTTAGCATTAAAGATTAATTTTTAAAAGAATCTAGTATAATAATTGAAGAGACTTACCGCGAGCCCAACTTACCGCAGAGCTATAACTTCGTTCAGAATTGTCGAATCCGTGAAGACCTGGTATGGTTCGATTCAGCTCGTCGAGGCGCAACGAACCATACAAGGTCTTCCCGGATTCGACAATTCTAAAAGAAGTTCTATAACTTCGTAAGTTGGGCTCGCGGTAAGTTGGCCTGCTCCCGTATTAATTCGTACGATTTTAAAAATAAAAAAATTTTTCTAGAATATTCCAAATGAAAAAACGATATGTTTGTTCAGTATTTATTTTCATTGATTATTATTTTTTTGCAAAATATTTTTTATTATTTTTTAATTTAAATTAATCTAATGTGTATTAAAAAAATTTTTATAAGCAAATGTAACCGTAATCCTTTTAATTTAAGGGTTCGAATTAGAGACCGGACTGGGGGTGTTGAGGTCTATATCTCGAAAAATACCGACTCTATACCTAAGAGTTTGTTTTCTTCTTACTTTTTGTTCGAGATCTCGTCTCAGTTTCGAACCCTATTTTTCACAAATTTCAAAATTTGTCATTTTTGGGGATATTTACTAAATATTATTTGCTTGGCAAAACAAATTAAAATTTTTAAATAAATTTATTCAATAATAGGTAAATGAAATTAAATATTTAAACACAAAATTAGAAGAGTTAAGCAGCCAATCTTAAATAATAATACCAATAAGCAGCGTGAAAAGAAAAATAACTAAGCGGGAATGCCCAACGGCTCCAAGCGTCGATTTTTTTCGCCTGCATTCGACCTGCTTCCCGTCTGCAAAAGATTGATTTTAATGTATATTTTGTATTATCACAGTCGGATATCACTCTTAGACACCCCTTGAATAATCTAATACACCCAGATCCTTCTTAATTCCTAATTTTTTGACTTCGAAAGGTCCTGGTCCAACACTAAATGGATATCATTCTTAGATGCCCCCATGAAGTATCTAATACCACAGAGCTTCCTTAACTCACTTTTCGACTCCGAAAGGTCCTAGTCCTGGTGGTATCACGACTTTTGCGCCTTGAACATTTGCGCCGCGACTTATGCGCCGCGACTTTTGCGCCGGGCGACTTTTGCGCCGCGACATATGCGCCGCGACTTTTGCGCCGGGCGACTTATGCGCCGCGACATATGCGCCGCCATTGTTTAAAAAATCCGGATCCGAAAAATGCCGGATATCCGAAATTTTCAGTTCGGATATCGGATCCGGATATCCGAAGATTTCCAACTATCCGACAACCCTACTAAAGTGAGGTCCGGCTGTAGTTATTGATATATTTTTAATGATAGTGGCGGCGCAAAAGTCGCCCGGCGCAAAAGTCGCGGCGCAAATGTTCCCCGGCGCAAAAGTCACTCGGCGCATAAGTCGCGGCGCAAAAGTCGCGGCGCAAAAGTCGCGGCGCAAATGTTCTCGGCGCAAAAGTCACGGAACCGTCCTGGTCCAAGCTATCCTGATCCAGATATTTTTCAACAAAGTCAGCTCTCCACGAGGTGGCCGGTTAAAGTAAAAAAACGTCCTAAATTAAGCTTTAGCTAATTCTGGGGGTATTCTAGAATGATATTCGACTGTATAACTTTACTTATTCATTTGTAATTTCCTAATTGCATGTCTCCATTTCGAACGGGGTGTCAATGTTGTCTGTTGAATATTATCGCCACTAGTCTGGCTCCCTACATTTGGTGTTGTCGAAGTAAAAGACTCCCTTCGCTCCCCTGATCCAATATTTATTGGATCTAGAAGAGATGCCATTGCAGAAGCTCTCCGGGACAAAGGCCTAGAAATTGGTGGCTCGAGTCCTATTGCCGATTTAGTGGAGGAGCTTTCGACTTTTAATGGCACAGTGCTTTGTTTTCTTGATGTAATAATAGTTTGTGGAGAGTAGTTTGAAGAAAATAACGTAGAAACTGCCCTTTTCAGTTTATTTTGATCAGAGGAATATTGTGACTGTGACTAGAAATAAAATGATTAAGTTAATAAAATGATAACTTAAAGGACACCTCTAAAGGCATATCCCTTATTGTAGACCCTTGAAATAATAAAGCTTCACAACTAAGCTCAGGTTTTGCCCAATTGGCAAGTCTGGCTGCCTCTCGTTGATCAACAGCATTTCTTTGTTTTGACTGTACTTCTTTTCTTACTTCATTATTATTCCTTTCATTTTCTTCCTCTTCATCTTCACTTTCGTTACAAACAATAAGTGGCACGTTTGAGAATGGACTTTGAATGAGCTTTTCATGCCGATTTAAGTTTTTAGTGGAAAGAAGTTGAAGTTGAGGGGAATTTCCCCAGCCATGACAGGAATTTGGTGTTGTTGCCTCCTTTTCTATTGCTACGAGTTTCTAAAAATGAGCTCCTCATTTATTGTGCTCATATTAAAATTAAATACAGCCGGCCCTCACTATATGATACACCCAATTTATTATTGTTGTTACTTGGGTTTTGCGTCATATCCATGTGCATATTCTTACCCCCAGTTTAAGAGGCCGTTGGAAAACTCCTTTGGGTAATTTTTGAATTTTTAAACCTCAAAGGTTTATCCTATAATGAGGTTCGACAGCATTATTTAGTCCATACTTTAGCAGACGATCGCTTCCTATTGGTACAAAAATTATTTTCTTCTTTTCCACTATTCCCGTCGCAAACTTTTCCTTCTTCAATATCTAGCATTTGCCTTTTTAATCTGTTACTTTTCCAATTACGCCAAAATGAGGATTTTGTTTTTGATTCTTCAGATTTAGTCCAAGATTGTTCCTTACTCTTTAAAAACAAAAAATAAATTTAAAATTCGAGTAATTCTCCAACCAAAATTAAACGTTTATGTTTGCAAAATTGATGAAGGATTTTGTAAAGGAAAGCAACACAACCAGATTTTGAGTGTCCATTTTCTTCCTTTTCATCAAGAAGACCGGCTGCTGCCATAGTTGCTTTAATTGAAATTTAATTATAATTCTAAAAATGATTTTTAACAGCGAAGGGGTGAGATAGCAAAAAAATAAGCTGAAACTAAGAAGCAATAAAAGACAAAGCTGAGGGTTTTTTTAAATTTTTGTTCTCACTGTTTTGTATTTCTTCAGATTCTGTCAAATCATCGGACATATAATTTGCTTTATTAAAAAGAATTAATTTGCTAGTTATTAAAAAGAACCCTACACCCTACCCCCAAATCGGAAAGTTATAGGGCCTCTTTTTCCTTTTGTAAGCCTGATACCGTTATCCGATTATTTTTCAAAAACCACATCCTACATAATCTTTCTTTGTAGCCTCTCAAAAAACTAAAAAAATCACCATTTCGCTGAGTGTAGTTTACGATAGTAAATTCTATTAGGACACCAAAAACAAATCTATAAAATTAAAATTTAATTAGATATTTCCTTTCAAGCTACACAAACTAACAATACACTGACGGCTAAAAATAAATCCAAGCTTTTCATGTAGCTGACTTCAGGTAAGGAATTCTTGACTGAATTAGCCTGAGTAGAGAGTGTTAAAAGGGTGGTGATTGCCAATGATACACGCGCTGGTACAGCCCAAAAAATTTTTATTTTTATCTGAGGTGTTAGAAATATAAAGTTACTTCTACATCAAGCCAAAAACTGAACCAACTGATGACCTATAATTAAAAATTAAATAGGCAGACCTCACTTAAATCCCTATATACAATGTATAAGTTATTTAAAATTTAGTTTGGCATTGGGTGAGAGAGCTACCTAAAGTAAAGCGACCGAATCCATCCCAGAAAATAGCAAAAGATCGGACGAGGTTTAATCCTGAGAGATCTTCGATGTATGCTCAACCCTCCCACCACTGACTAATCTTTCCATTTTCGCTTTAGTTCTAGTAAAGGAGGAAACTTTGTTGTCCTTACACTAAGTGACCTCCTATTTAAAATAAACTAATCTAGGTAATTATAACTTACAACAATTAATGTTGTTGGCACATATGTTTGTAAGATATGATGAGTTAATTCTCGTGACACAAAAAATTCTGCAGTAACGCAGCTCCAAACACCTGTACTATAATTTCCATCACAAGTTCCTGGGACAAGTTTAACGATATCCATATCACTCATCTTTACAATTTAGTAATTATAAGAAAGGAAAGGGTGCTTGTAAACATACAGTTATATTCACATTTTTGGTAATAGGTTCCTGATCAACCCATTCGATTTTTAAATGATGAATGTCATATGCGTCTAGATTGGAAATTATTTGATTTTTAGAAATTAAGTATAACAAACAGCTAAGAATTCGTAGATGACACCACTGTGAATCTAAGGGGAAATTCTTCAGGTTCATAGCACATATTACAACCATAGAAACACGGGTATCGTAAAGAATTGATCCATCTGGATCAATCCAAAGTAAAAAATTGGGTTGTGTAACCTCGTGAAATTGAGCGATACGTGCACTAAATGATAAAAAGTATATTGTTTGGAATTAAAAGGAAATCAGGGCAAGATAAGATTCCAATTCTTAAGCTTCTTGAGGAAGGCGGGAATTCTTTGGTTTGCTGTCCCTGATTCCTCCTAGGTTTTCAATTTGTTACATTTTCCATGTCCCGGCCCGTGTTCTCTCATTACTCTGATCTCTCAATTAATAACATAATTATAATATATTTATACTTTGCAAAATAAACATCTGGGTGCCAAATCCGATTGAGAATTGCTCGGTCACGAATAAGAATTCGACTTGTTGAAATAAAAATTTAAAAAATTTAGGAGTCCTTAAAACCTTTTTTCGTTATGAGCCAGTCTAGGATCCTTCCAAAATTGCTGTAGATATACATCCAATTGAAAGTCCTACAAAAATTCAGTAATATCCACAGAAATATAAATTTTAAACAAAAAATATTACCATTGTGTGGGTTCGGAAGGAGCCTATACCTTCAATGTAAATGGCCAATTTAACATTTGTTGGTAATCCTAAATTAGTTCAAAGAAAATAAATTTTCGTCTCTGGAACTTTATTCTCCTGTTTTCCGGAACCAGCGGGTTTATTCGCAAAGTATTTAAAACTTTGATAAATAAACCACCTTGGAAACCTAATTTTTTATTTGAAAGTGAATATTCCAGCGAGGACAAAATTTCTTGAGTTAATATAAAATAAATAAATAAATAAAATAAAATAATTACCCAGGGTACTTATTGTTTCAACCTCTCGCTGTAGGTGATAGGGAAGGGGTAATTATTTTTTCGACCTCTGGCTGAAGGGGGTAATTAATAGGGCGGGAGTAACTATTTGAGAGAGGGACATTATTTCAGCATATACGGTAAATATCATTTTTTTAACTTATCTTACCAATATTTTGTGTTGGTGTTGATTGCCTGTCATAAACCTTTTTGGGGTAAAATAATAATTTTTGAAAAATAAACCTGTCTCCCAGCACTCAACATTTCATCCATATGTAGAGGAATAGGAACACTTCTAAGTTGCTGTTTTTGTTGGGCATTTAATTTGGAAATTAAAAGGAATAACGTGAACAAGAAACAACAATTGTTTGTTTTAGGCATTGCTTTCAAAAGAAGTTTAATTGAAGAGGTACTTGTCTGCATGATTTTTTAAGTTAAATCGTTCAGTAACGGTTACAAAATCCCAAATCCAAATAGATAATAGACTGAACACGAAAAAACACGTGTACTTGTCTGCCTGATGTAATTTAAAATTTTTCTCGAATGTTAGGAATGTCTTTCAATTGTCCTTAAGGCAAAAGAATAAACGTGCACTTTAATATAATTGAGCAATTATTTGTTTATTCTATACCAGCCATTTTGTAAAATTAAAAAAAAATTTTTTGTCTGAGCCTTTATAAAAAATAAATTCTTTTTTTTCTGAGAAATTGACATTAGAAACCCTTTAAAAACTCTCAACATGCAATTTCCTAACAAAACTCATGTTAATCCAATTGAAGCTCTCGTTGAGGAAAGGTAAGAGAGAACCTTTTCTATTTTAGATTGCTTTTCCCTTTCATTTCCTTTTGTATGTAAAAATGAAAACAAGGCGGATATATCGTCATCAATTGATATTTTATTTTTAAAAATAGTCTCGTGGTCTTGGATTTTTAAGTAAAAAAAGGAAGATATTTAAATAGTTAAAGGGGAAGGATATAAAAAATGGGGGGAGGAATAATCCATTTTTACGCCTCTGGCATCTTAATGTTTTTACTATGTTCTCACGTCGATTAATTAAATGAATAAAATTTAAAATTAACTACCAATTAACTACCAAATTATTGTCCTTCAATAGGTAGCTCTCGTTATTGCAAAAAACGACTGCTAAAACTGCCAAGAAGAAGTATTTTAGGATTGAGAAATTCTAGCTTTTGCACAAGGGTGACTATAATTGTCAAAATCTTCGCCTGCAGCGCTAAAGAGGAGGATTTAGAAATCCAGAAAATTTTATCAAGGCTAAGAAAAAGTATAGAGGCTAGGAGAAAATTACGTAAATGTTCGGGATATTGGATTGACAATCATACTCTGATACATTCTCGAGAGGATTTTGAGGAATATCATAGGATATGGAAGGATGTCGGGGATATTAAAAGGATTTTTGACTTTAACTTTTATGGCAAAAATGAAAAATTAAGTTAAATCCATCAATTCTAAGAAAATTAATAGTGATCAGTCGTCAATGAAGATCAGTCGTCAATGAAGCGATTTTTATTTTGTATTTTTAAGAAAATTTCTTCACAAAATTTTTTGCCCTTTTCGATGGAAATAGAAAACCCGATAATAAGCCAAAAATGAATAAATTAATTTCAAAATTTTATCAAAAATTTTAAATTTCCAAGTATTATTTTTGTTTAATTAATATCAAATAGACAAAGTAATTTAACAAATTATTATTTTAGTAATTAAACAAACGGGCTTTAATTAACACTTTTATTCGTCTATTACATTTTTATGTGTTCAATCGGTGACTACAACTGCGGATGAGACAATTCTTGACGACGATTGCGGATATGGCAGCATTTGTGGACTACAATTCCTTTTCTCTGTTTTTTAATCCCGGCTCTCATTTTCTGACTTCTTCGGCACTAAAAACTAGTGTTATTCAAACGCGATTTTTCGGTATCGGTATCGGTATTTTCGGTAAAATACCGATACCGAAAAAATACCGATTTTGTTAAAATTGTTCGGAACCGTATTCGGTATCGGTATTTCGATAAAAATACCGCGGTATTACCAAAAAATACCGCGGTAATACGGTACCGTGAATAACACTACTAAAAACTTTAAAAAAAACTTAATTTTTTTTAAATTCTATATCCGCAATTGTCGTCTTTATTCAGAATCTTTTATTTCTTCAATTCATTCATTCTTCAATTCAAACATCGGTAAAATATCAACACGATATATAGTTACCTCCTTATCTCTATATTCTCCTTCAAAAATAACCATATCCCCATCTTTATATTCTGTATTTTTTGTTTCAAAAATTTTAATACGAATAGATTTTTTAAATTCTTGCAATATTTTCCTTTCATAAATATTTCCAAAAATTTTTCTTGAACATTTTTCTTTATTTATTTCCTCAATATTAACAAAAAACTGAATTGCATGTTCTAAGCGAGTATAACTATAAATATAAATGTATTATCAAAAGTTAAAAAAGTGGAAAATTATCAAAAGTTAAAAAAGTGGAAAATTTTTTTAGTAAAAGAAACGAATAATCAAATTAGATTAAAAATTTTTGTCAGAAATCAATTTTAACCCTTAAAAATTTTCTTTAGACAAAATTCATTCATTTTTCAATTCAAACATCGGTACGATATCTACACTATATATAGTGTAGATATTTTTATCTAAATTTTTTCCTTCAACCACAAGCATCCCTCCATCCTTATATTTTTTATTTTCTGTTTCAACAATTTTAATTCGAATAAATCCATTTAATTTTTGCAATATTTCCTTTTCATAAATAGATAAATTTACAAAAAATTTTCTCAAACATTTCTCTTTATTTACATCTTCAACTTGAACAAAAAATTGAAATGAACGTTCTGAGTAACCATTAATATAAACAAAATATTTTCCTTTTTCAGCAAATTTGAAGCAAATTTCCAAAAAAGGATTTTTTGGTTCTTTCCCACTAATTTCGTTTAATTTTAAATTTTTAAAAATATTTTTGCTCATTTTTTCTTTTTTCCAATTTAAATTTAAAAATAAATAAAATTTTGTTAATTTAATTTCAGACATAAATGTAGATTCCATTAATTTTGCCTCGATTCCATTTAATTTTATAATATTTTTTACTTGTCTCATAATATCTATAAAATCTCCAAAAGCATCACTTTCTTGCGCGTTATTTTCGATTAAATAATTTCCATTCTCATCTCTTATATTAATTCCTATTAAACCATTAAAAACAGGTCTAATTTTAGCAAGTGCCTTAAAAAATTTATTTGTTGATATTTAATTTAAATTTACCTATTTTAATTTCGATCAGGTTTCCAATAAAAAGGTTTACTAGGAAAAAATCCCGTTGGGGTGTTCTACAACATATAATGGACGGAACATTTGGCAGGTGTCCGGAAATTTCGGCTCTCGAATGTTGGGCTATAATCTATTTTTAGAACCAACGTTGGGTATACACTAGTGATGTTCGAGTATCCCGACACCCGACTCGAGAAATTTCCCGAGTTTTTGGCCTCCCGATTTCGATTCCCGATGTCATTTCCCGACTAAGTCAGGAAATTTTTACACCCCTAAGAATGGCTTTAATTAATTAATTTTTTTACTTCTTTTTTTGTTCCATCATTCAAACAAATATCCAATCCATATCTATATTTATCCATAACCTTTTCATCTAAATAAATTATTTTTTTATTTATTATATCTTTTTTTGTATAAATTCTTTCAGCAAACATCGCTGCAAGTTTACAAAAATTTGAAGTATGTTTATTGCTAATTAAAGCTGATTCTGTTAAATAAAGTTTATCCTCTTCATTTAATATTCCATTAATTTCAATTTCAATTTTTAACAAATTTTTATTCTAAAAAATAAATTAGTAATTTTCTCGAGTTATTAAAAATTAAAACATACTTCTTCTCCATTATCTTTAATAAATTCAATATTTATTAAATTAATTTTAATTTGTTTTTCATTTTCTTTTGTATATTCAACAAAAATATTTTGGTTATTTTGAATATTATTTGAATTAATTAAATTAATAAATAATATTAAAAATAAATAAATATTTATTTTTAAATTCATTTTTTTAAAAATAAATTTATTTAAAAATATTTACCAAGGAGATAATTATAAATTAATGTCAGGCAATTATTTAAGAAATATAGCAAGATGAGGGTAATGGCAATAATGATTAGTGATCGATAATTTTGAATAACTCGCTTAAAATTTTACTTTGAATTCGATTTTTTTGCCTGATAAAAAGGAGAGGCAGGCCTTTGCACTCTTAATTATTTCTTAATTTTTTTAAGATGTTACCGGCGTGTTGCACTTTTTGTTTATTATTTTAAATTTATTTTTAAATTAAAGAAAAAATTTATAGAATTATGAAATCCTGGATAATAAATAAAATAATAAAAATAGTAGAGTTCAGCGGTATCGGGAGTTAGAGAAAAAACTGGATCGGGATTTGCATCAAGATCTGATGCACATCCCGATCCAGAATCCCGACACAGGGTCGGGATTGACCGAAATCGGGATCTGGATGTGAAAAATGGTGTGAAAAATTGATGTGAAAACCCCGGGATAGTCCCGCCCGATCCTGACCGGGATACCGATCCCGCTGAACTCTAGAAAATAGTCAGTTAAGCATTTATAGGTTCTGACACTTAATGCTTCTTTTGCACATTTCAAGCTTAAATCTTCAATTTTAATTGAAGAATTCTCAA